GGGGGCTGAAAGGGCCGGAGTTGGGGCTGAGACGGGGCCTGCAGCTGGGGCTGAGACGGGGCCTGCAGCTGGGCTGAGACGGGGCCTGCAGCTGGGGCTGAGACCGGGGCCTGCAGCTGGGGCTGAGGACGGCCTGTGAGTTTGTTGGCTGAGACGGGCCTGAGCTGGGGCTGAAGCGGGGCCTGCAGCTGGGTTGAGGCGGGGCCTGGAGATGAGACTTGGGCCAGCAACTGGGGCATACGGAACTAGGGCCAGCAGCTGGGGCTGCGAAACTGGGCCTGCAGCTGGTGCTGAGACTGGGGCCTGCACCGGGGCTGGAGCTGAGATGGGGCCCTGCAGCTGGGGCTATACTTGCCGCAGCAGCACTGCACCAACCCAATTGGCCTCACAATGAAAGCACCCATATTATCAATATTTGCATTAGCTGCAGATTTTGGCACACACCAACCACACGATTCACGACACATCCTTTTACAGTCCCCACAACCGGCAAGAGTCTCTTCAAACTGCGGCTCTGCACCACCCCTTCCCCTCCTGCGTATGTTTGCAACTGTTTCCCAGCTTGCTGGAAGTTTTTTTCTTTGCCTTTACAAAAAACCTGTATTTCACAGTCTTTTTTGGCTTCAGTGGCCTAGGGCAACTTGTCTGCCTCATCACCAGTGTCATCAGTTGAAAATGCGAACACTGCGTCACATGCAGGGGGACTCTAGATGCAGTCACAAATTCCATGGCACCAACCTCCTCCTCCTGGCTCCACCTGGGATTCCCCAACTCTAGATGCTGATTGCTTGCGAGGGTGGTATGGGTTCCTACTCACCCTCCGGTAATCAAACAATTCTCCAGCCATGCTGAGAATCAACTGTGGCTCGCCTTCACCAAAGAACCTCACCTGGGGTCTGACAGGTCCCGGATGACACCGCCTCTCCGATCTGGCCCCTCGCGACCGCGCTAGGGATTCTGTTCACGGGCCTGCACGGGGCCCCCCCCCCCCTCCACCGCCTCACCCCTCCCCCCGAAACCCCCTACTCCCCTCTCCCCCTTCAACACTACAAACCACCCCCCCCCACCCCCCCTGGTACGGCCAGTCACGCCAAACCTCCCTCCCGCATGAACCCCGCTGAACCCGCTGGATGCTTTCAGGTCATTCACTAGATCACATTGCTGGCAGCACTGCCTGCTCCATACGTACTCCAGCTCAGGCTTCATAGCTTGCCGCTTTGTGCTCCACACACGATCCCATAAGATGACTTGAACTTCCGGAGGTCATTTTTCATAATCTGACTAGCTTGTCTTCCTCCTTCCCGATCCTTGGTCCCACACGCCCCGATAATCTGCATACGATTCCCCTCCTTTAGGGCCTGTTTCCCAGGTCCTCAATATCTGGCATGTCAGGACCGGTAACTAAAGGAGCCCCAGGGGGTCCCTCCTCCTGGATCATGGCCAGGCTCGGCCATCCTCTCCTGGGTAGTGCCAGAAATTTTAGTCCCTGCTCAGACTGAGGCCTAGCAGGACCCTCACCACAGCACACACCACACACTGTCTGTGCAGCACCACACCCACTTCCTTCTAACGACACTCAGCTGTAGGTACCGGAGGAACCCTAGAAGGGTGTGTGATTACTGGACTGCTCCTCAACTCTAATTAGTGCACCAGATTGTATGTAAGATTATGTATCTGCCAGTGTGTGTGGTCAACCAGCTGGTCTCTGTAAGGTAGATACAATGCTGGAATGGTTATTAGGGGACATTTCTCGGGGTGCTGCAGTTCCTCTGAACTCCACAAGATGGTGATCTCATTTCTACTACCCCAGACAGGACTTCTCTATGGAATACAGACAGGAAGTGATGTCAGGTACAGACAGGAAGTGATGTCAGGAACAGACAGGAAGTGATCTGGAATAAAGACAGGAAGTTCTATGCTGTGTGAAGGAGATTGGAGACGTTGGTGGACATGGCAGCAGAGGAGTGTAATAAGATGTTATGTTCTATTTACACCCAGTAACCCCCCCTGTCATGTCCGTCCTGTTCCTCCATAGTCAGTCCGTCCTCTTCCTCCATTAGTCATGTCTGTCCTCTTCCATAGTCATGTCTGTCCTCTCCCTATAGTCACTGTGATGTCTCTCCAAGACGTCTTTTATGAGATAATGAATACCAATCAATATTTAGAAGGACACAAGGATCTCTACAAGGACGTCATGATGGACAATCAGCCGCCCCTCACATCACCGGGTAAGAGGAGACTTTATTGTAAAGGAGAGAGCAGTACGGAGGATCCACCTAGATCCCCCATCATCTGATAAACACATAGAAACAATGGATTCAGTCAGTGTGTGTGTTTCCTACAGATGGATCCAGTCATGGGAACCCACCAGAGAGATGTCCCCGTCCTCTGTATTCCCGGGATTCCACACAGGAAGGTCACACCATCCCTCACCATCATCAGGTAGATGATGACAATTATTGGTAGTTGTGATTTATACACAGCATGTTTGTTACAATGAATGTTTTATTATATCTTTCAGAGTGGAATCCTCGGGGATGATAATATTGATGTTAAAGAAGAGTATAAAGAGGAGGATGAGGAGTATGGAGTGATGGAGGAGTTTTCAGAAGGACACAAGGATATGATGGAGCCACCTAATACCAGGAACCCACCAGAGAGATGTCCCCGTCCTCTGTATTCCCGGGATTCCACACAGGAAGGTCACACCATCCCTCACCATTACAAGGTTGGTGGGACGGAGCATCTAGAACATGGACTTGTATAGAGATGATGTGTGGATTTTTTTGTGACCTTACATTTTACAGATGATATTTTCTCTCATTTCCTTGATTTAGAGTGGAGATCCAATCGATATAGAATTTGAGGTGAAAGCAGAAGAAGAAGAGGCGTATGTGAGGGATGATCAGCAGTCTATGGAGGAGGATGGAATAACGGGGACATTTATAGAGGAGGACACTCCTACAGAGATCAGCACAGGTGGGTCATGAACACTAAATCCATTCCTCCACCCATACTGCTCACTGATTGGTCCAGAGTAGGGCGGGGGACTGGGTGATATCAGCCTGTAATCCCCTGGTCACTTTCCTGAGCTGTGTTCCCCGTCCTGTATTCCTGGATTTCTCTCGGATAATCTTCCTTCTCTGTGCTGCAGACACAATTTATGTATCTAGACTGGATTTATGGAGGTTCTGGGGTTCAGCTGGCAGCAAAAATGTTGATTTTTACTCTAAGCATTGCATAATGTAGGCACCCAGGACATGTGACTGGGGTCTCCTGCCTTGTGCCTGACTCCTCCAGGGGACCTTCTCTGTTATCTGCTGGCTGTGCCGGGTGGAGGGATATGTCTGTAGTGTCTCAGACCCAAGTCGGGAGGCAGCGGTGTGGGAACCTACATAGTTATGCAGGCATAGATGGGGCGAAAAAAGACGGAGTCCGATTTGCTTTCGGGAAAATTTAAATCCTTTTTTTTCGGATCGTTAGTGGGCGATTTGGTCGGCTGATTTTTCGGTATTTTGGCCGTTTTTTTTTTTTTTCGGTAAAGTTGGAAAAAAATCGGATGATTTTGCCGATCGGCCGATTTTCGCGGCAATTAGTGGGCAAATCGGCCGATTTTTTACCGATAAAAAGATCTGCGCATGAGCGTGTGACCTGCATAGAGGAAGACAAAAAGAAGAAGAGGAAGAAGATGAAGAAGACGATGAAGAAGACGATGAAGAAAGGATGAAGAAGAGGATGAGGATGAAGAAGAAGAGGATGAAGAAGAAGAAGAGGATGAAGAAGAAGGGATGAGGATGAAGAAGAGGATGAGGATGAAGAAGAAGAAGAAGAGGATGAGGATGATGAAGAAGAAGAAGAGGATGAGGATAGTAATGAAGAAGATGAGGATGAAGAGGAGGATGAAGAAAGAAGAAGGATGAGGATGAAGAAGAAGAAGAGGATGAAATAAGAAGAGATGAAGAATAAGAGGATTAAAATAAGAAGAATTCCAGTCCATGCAAAAAGTGTCTCTGCAGAGAGCTCCGCTAGAGACAGTTCCTTGACATTTACAGCGGTTTGAAACATTGTAGGATATTTGTTTCCGAATAAAAACATCTGTATCCTAAATGGAAACAAATAGATACATTGTTGCAACTTCATATAAATGTCAAGGAACTGTCAGAGAAGAGGTGTCCTCAGAAACTCTGCAGGGACATGAAGAGCCGAGGATATAGAAGAGGATCAAAATCGGAAGATTTAGATTTTCCATTGATGGATAGAAGAGGCCACTTGAACAGACCCGATTTTCAGAATTTTAAGAAGAAGAAATCTGAGTTTTTCATCCCCCCATGAAGAAGAAGATAAAGAGGATGAAGAAGAAGAAGAATTTCGAGGATATTTGTAAGATCCCCCATATAGATTTCAATCCCTCAATAAGAAGAGGATGAATCGGAAGAAGAAGATGAGGATCATAAGATTGAGCATGACCTGATGAGGAAGAAGAGGATGAGGATGAAGAAGAGGAAGAGAAGAGGATGAAGAAGAAGAGGATGAGGATGAAGAAGAAGAGTATGAGGATGAAGAAGATAGAAGAATGAGGATGATGATGAGGAAGAAGAAGAAGATGATGGCATGAAGAAGAGGATGAGGAAGAAGAGAGGAATGAGAAGAAGAAGAGGATGAAGAAGAAGAGGATGAGGATGAAGAAGAAGAGGATGAAGAGATGAAGAATGAAGAGGATGAGAAGATGAGGGGATGATGAAGATGAAGAGGATGAGAAGAAGAAGAGGATTGAGGATGAGGAAGAAGAGGATGAGGATGTGGATGAAGAAGAAGAGGATGAGGGATATAGAATTCATGATGAGGATGATAGAAGAGGATGAGATGAGGATGAAGAAGAAAGAAGTAGGATGAAAATAAGAATAATTCCAGTCCAGCAAAAAGTGTATCTGCAGAGAGCTCCGCTATTTCTGACAGTTCTCTGACAGTTCCTTGACATTTACAGCGGTTGAAACATTGTATCTATTTGTTTCCGAATAAAAAACATCTGTATCCTAAAGGAAATAAATAGATACAATGTTTTCAACCTGCTGTAAATGTCAAGGAAGCACACTGTCAAGAAAATAGCAGAACTCTCTTCGCAGGGACACTTTTTGCTGGCTGTAGAAGGGATGAAAATCGGCCGATTTTTTTTTTTTTACCATTGATGGGAACGTCGGCCCGGCTTGAACGAGCCGAATTTTCGTTTTTTAAAGAAAAATCTGCCGTTTTTCTCCCCATCTATGGCCTGCATTAGTCGCGGCTTGCCGAAAACACTGATCTAGTTGAACCATTAAAAATAAAAGTTATAATCGACACCACACCCACAGCTGATCCACCAGAAGG